CAGATCCTTTGGTGGTGGTTGTGGGTGTTGGGTGGTTCTCAGTTTGGGTAGTGGTCTTGGTGGTGGGTGTTGGGTGGTTCTCAGTGTGGGTTGGTGGTAGTTATGGGTTGATGGTGGTTGTGGGTGTTGGGTTGATGGTGGTTGTTGGGTTGATGGTGGTTGTGGGTTGGTGGTGGTTGTGGGTGTTGGGTTGGTGGTGGTTCTCGTTGTGGGTTGGTGGTGGTTGTGGGTTGTGGGTTGATGGTGGTTGTGGATGGTGGTTATGGGTGTTGGGTTGATGGTGGTTCTCGATTGTGGGTGTTGGGTGATACACAGTGAAAGAGAGAGAGACAGAGAGTTGAAGAATAGTGGGAATTGTAGATTATTGTCCAAATAAATTTTATAATTTTTGTTCTTTAAAACTATTTTCAAAAATACATAACCAAACAGATTTTGTAATCTAAAATTTTTTAAAGACATTTTCATAAAACTCTTCTCAAAAATAGTTTTCAAATACTGTTTTTTGAGATGCAAACCAAATAGACTTGAGGTTTTTTTATTTTTGTCCTCGTTTTTTTTTACTTATGGGGTTTTAGTTGTACTTATTTTCTGATTGAAAGTTATTACTTTGTTTTTGATTAAATACTTTTTTGATGTTTATTACTTTATTATGGTTGGTAAAATAATGTTCAATTTTTTTGTGAAGTTACATATCTATGATTGCATGATGTTAAGATGGTGAATTACGTAATGTTCAATCATGATTAAATTGTGCCATGCCAAGTTCTTAAATTTTTATTTAATGAGGTATACTGATGTTTTTCATGATATCATTCGAAATTGTGTTTTTTTTGTTCTAAATTGGATTGAGATAAAGGTAGTCTTTTCTAGGTTCATAAAAAAACATATAATTTTAACATGCCACGTGTATACGTTTCTAGTTGTATCCGTTCCCATGTGATATGGTCTAGTATATCAATACTGGCATTTTAAAAAGTGGCTGTTATGGGGCATATCGGCTGTTGCATAATGGTAACATGCAACGACTATTGATGATCCCGTTGCACTCATTTTCTTGTGTAAAAGTTTTTTCATTCCTGTAACCCTCATAATCGTTGATGCATATCAGATAGGTCGTAGCGACCCGAAAACTCGAATGAAAATTTAGCCAATCCAATTGAGGGCAACCTCCATTTTTCTCTATTCTTTACCCTCCAAACTGTTGATTTACTCGTTCTAACTTCAAATCTCAATCACAACTTCTGCATTTTAGTTGGGATTTATCCAATTTTATGTCAAAATTGAAAAATGAGTACCTATGAGAAAATCTTGGATCATGTATTGGCCATGAGGACTTTTCAGTGCTAGCTCTTGACCTCGAGACTTAAAAAAACTTTGGGATCTAATTGTCTCCTCCAAAATAGCTCAATATTACTTCATTCTCTATGTCTTGCATGGAGATAGATTTTTGAATTTGACTTGGTGAGTGAGGAAAGGAAAGAAATCAAATAAAGAAAAATGAAAAAACCTTTGAACGAGGGAGAGGAGATGATATGTAGTGTCTTTATCACTTTGCAGATCATATTTAATTGTTTATCCGTTTTGGCTAGCCGAATGAATGAATCTCGCGTGTAGATTGAATCTATCCCAACACATTTAAGGGTTTGCTAAGGGCTGCCCATATTTTTTATCCTTTTAGGGCTTGGACTAAACTTTTGGGGATTATGTTGGGACTCTTCAAGCCATATTTTTGGAACTTTTCTGGATTTATTTGGGCCTTAATTGTAGTGTTGGTATTTTTAATATTTAATGTCATGGTTAACATACAATGAAATACATAATTTTTTTTATAATATTCACTTTGAGGGTGAGGTGTGAATTGAAAAAAAATAAAATTCAAAGCTCTGATTTCTGTTAATATCACGTAACATCTGTTAACTCGTTTCCAGTACATCGGCTGTTATTATTGTCTAAAACTATGATCAGAATTAATTGCAGCAACCAGTTCTTTATAGGGACCCTATATCAAATGCAACTTTTATATCACCTAGTATTGTTGTGAGGAGAGACCTACAATAGTCAGTAGTTTCTTTTCCTTTTTTTTTCTCTGTTCATGTTTCTGTGAATAGTAAAAAATGTATTTTAAAGTTAAGAATAGAGTGAATGAATACCAAGGATCAAAATTTTCTTGTGGTGTATTGTTTCGATCACGTAAGAAAAGTAAATGTTTAATTTTTGAAAATATTTTAGAAACATAGTAAAAATGAATAAAAAAATTTAGAATTTTTTCTAAAACATTGATCTAAAAATATCATAACATCAAACACATCGAAAAATTTCAAATTAATTGTGTAAATATGTCAAAACAGCTCGTAATATTCCAAAATATCTAGAACATTAGAATTTTGATTCCATCATTTGATTCATTTGGGTCTCTTTGAAAACTGAAACTTTACCGTTTCATTTCGAAATAAGATTTTGATCCTTATTGACGACAATTAGTACAACAGTCTTCTGCCAATAGACAGAACACACCTGAAAAAGCACACCTTTTTTTGGGGCATAAACGCAAAAAGATCAGTAGAACACGCCAAAATTAATCATATCTTAAAATTAAAACTTAAAAAGTTTATTTAGACCTAAAAGTAGAAAAATAAGCGGTACTTTTTTTTTGTTAAAAAAAAAAACTAGCATTACATGAAATAGTTAAAGGAATTATTTATGTCTTCTCCGAAGACAACATAACCAAAGCCTCCATGAATAGACCATTGCCATGAAAGCAAAATCACCATGAACAATACAAAACTTTAAGGGTGGGAGTCAAAGGAAACAAGGATGCAAAGGAAGATGGATGGGCTTATGGCAACCAATAATGTGTAGAAACTCACCAGATCCGATGATCTCTTCATGTTCTATGTGAGTATGAACATGAGCGTTTGGGTTTCTATAAAGAAATGTTTAACGATATCCCAGTAAGTTACTGCTATATGGGGGCATAATGATGGTGATATTTTCTCCGGATGTGGCCTCGATGTCTCTGGAGCTCTTTAGTGGTAGTATGCTAACTTAGACTCTCGGAGCACAGAAACAAATCAAGTATTTGAGGCACCAATGTTGTTATTGGAAGTCATTGATGGGAGGAATTGCATTACACAAACTATTTTGGAGAACTCAAATAGTAACTTAGTCATATCCAAAGGAGAATCAGATTCATGACTAGTTATTACTTTTTCCATCTTCTTAGGGACTACAACATATATATTTTCTGGCTAGTGAGTGGCTTCGCTCCTCCAGCAGATGATATAGGTCCCAACCTTATTCCAGTTTTCTTGGAATCTCGCATCGTCGCCTTCGGATAGATAGCATAGCAACGATGTGGCTTGAGATTATGTAGGGCTAAAACTCACCTACTTGATCAACTGCATCCTGAATTATTAGATTATTTGTTGTTTTGGGTTGCTTTTGATCAACCCTTTCTGCATGCGAGTTAGAATGCAAACAACTTTGAGGTTTAGCACCCATGGAAAAACCATCTAGCACTTATTGAAGAGTCCAAATATACCAAATCAAGCAAAGAAAGAAGGGAAGAATACTCTAAGATGTCTCGGTCATTTACATTATGGGAGAAATTCAAGTTCTATCCCCCGAGGGTAGAAAGATAAGAATAAAACACTCTAGAGACCTGAACACTATGAGACCCAGACAATCTAACAAGACAAGGAATTGTAAAGCCTAGGATGACTCACTAGTCCAAATATCCTCCTAAAAGGAAACTCTTTGCCCATTCTCCACCCTCTAAATATGCCTTGTAAAATCATCCAAACCTTGAAAAATAAATTTTCATAGATTACGTCCCTTTCTTCAAAATGTAAGATCTCCATCATCATATGTCTTTATTGAATTCACAAAACATAGGATATTCCTACGTTGATACCAAAATTGATAAGGGATAACCAACATTGGTATGGTTTAGGGGCTGTGAGTCGTGCCTATGAAAATTAAAAGTGGGTTTTCGGGTTCAAAAGTGTTGAAATTCAAGTTTTGTTGAAAAAAAAGGTTGGATTTGCGAATTAGAGCTTCATTGGATCAAAAGAGAGCATATAGATTGGTTTGGAAGTGTTTAGATGCAGAAAATTTAAGAAATAATAAGAAGAAAACTACAAATCACTCCTAGGATTCCTTAGGCATTACACACAGGGTGTTGAATAGCATTCCATAATCCTCAAACATGTAATTGCTGAAAATTTAAAGTAATCTCTCTCTCTCTCTCTTGAGAACATCACACAGCTATATAAAATGTTCAAAGCATTTTCTAATTTAAACTTACAAAAATACCCAATGACTTTAAAAAAATTGAAAAACACACATAAAATAATACTACCATAAATGGAAAAATAAGATTTAAATATGTAATTAGATCTTCTTCAAAGCATTTCCTAATTTTATAAAAAAGTTTAGGACTTAGAAGACTCTAAATTACCTATAGATTAGGAACTAATATACACTAAAATCTAAAACTAGTACTTTAAATCTAGAACTATCCAATTATAAAATTTGACACAAAGGACGACCCATTTGTCATACTATAAGTCTATAACCGTTCCAGCACATGTTAAACTTACAAAAATACCCAATGACTTTAAAAAACTTGAAAAGCACATAAAATAATACTACCATAAATGGAAAAATAGGATTTAAATAGAGTTATGCATGGTTCCATTTGGGCCTTTCTCTTGATGGCAAGCCAATTCAATTTGTCTTTGGACTTTTTTTTTTGTTGAGCATCGTATGGATTGTATCAATACCCCTTGTGAATTTTTAAGTTGTTGAGGGAAGGGGTAAAAAATTAACTTGGTGCAAACTTCATACTTCTCTCTCTCTCTCGCTTTCTCTCTTTCTCTCTCTCTCTCTTTCTCTCTCTGTTACACACACACAGAGTTTATTTGGTGGTGGATGTATCATGCATGTTAATCTCTGTTGTATGTATGCAATGAACTAGAGAAGAATTAAATTTTTTCAGGGCTCCCTTGTAATGGATTCTCCTGAACATGTACGAGATAATGTAAAACGGGACATGGAGGATAAGTCAGAAGGGAGGAGTGATAGGGCCAGAGATGATGCAGAACGAGAGGGAGATGATAAGAGGAAGCACAAGTCAAGCAAGTCAAGAAAACCTGAGAATGGAGATGAAGCTGAAGGGATTGATAGCAGTGGAAAGAGAAGTACTGGCAATAGAAATGAGAGCCGAAAAAAGTCAAGTGGCTCAAGCAGAACAGGTAGTGAGGAAGATGATTGTGAAGAAAGAAAGGAGTATTTTACGCAGATGAAGAGGAAACAAGAGGAGAGTTCGTTGGAAAAATTAAGCAATTGGTATCAAGATGGAGAATTTGAGAATAAGCATGACGGTGGAGACAAGTCTGGTAGTAGAGATCATGGTAGAGCAGATGAAAGTGAAAGAAGGAAGTCAAGTTCAAAGTTCTCAGATCATGAAGTTTCCCAGGGCAGATTTATAGGAAGAGATGAAAGAGCAGATGATGGAGAGCTTGAGAAGGTGCCGGATACAGATTCAAGATATCCGGAAAGGAGGGAGAGGGGCCGAGATATGGGTCATGGATCTTCTGAGCAGGGGAGAAACCCGAGGAGAAGATGGGAGGAAACAGATACTCTCAGGAAAGCTGAAGAAAGCAGCTACACAGAAAAATCTGATCCAAGAAGTGAGAAGTTTTCTGATCCTAAGGATGCGAGTCCTAGAGAGAGAAGTGTGTCTGACAAGGGTATGAAATTTTCTGACAGCGAAGAAAGAAGAGCTGATTCGGAGAGGAGCAAGACCAAAGGCAGGCCTGAAGCTCCAGAAGAAGACAGTAGGGGAAGTACTTTGGCTCGTGAAGATAGAGGTAAGGAGCGAATTGAGAGGCATAGACAGCAGACAAATCCCACTAGTCGGGATGTTGCTGAAAGTCATGAAAGGTCTTTCAACACAGATGAGGATGGTGACACAGGGATGAGAGATAAAAGTAGAAAAGAAATAGAATGTTCTAATAGGTCCAGGTCCCCTGACAGGAGTGTGAGGCGTCATCATGAATTAGAAAACTTGGATATGGATTATGAAAGAAGCACTACTTTCAAGCGGAAGGAAACAGAACAAGAAAGTTACAGGGATGATAGGTCAAGAGGAAGAGATGATGGTTGGAGTGACAGGAATAGAGATCGAGACGGTTCCAGAGATAATTGGAAAAGAAGGCAACCCGGCAGTTATGATAGGGAAACAAAAGATGGGGATGCGGTTTATGATTACGGCAGAGAGTGGGAGCTGCAGAGACATGTTCGTGAGAGAAGTGACAGAGAAAGGCCTCAGGGTCGTTCTGGTGGTAGGAAAGATAATAGGACTGAAGCTGTGAAGACCTCATCGAATTATGGAATTACAAGTGAGAATTATGATGTTATCGAGATCCAAACCAAGCCCTTTGATTATGGAAGAGATTCTGGATCCACCTTTGGTAGGAAAACTGAAGTTGGTCAGCAATCTGAAATTCCACCGGCACAAAAAGATGAGGAGTGGGCATATCCACCAGAAGACAGAGAAAGAAAAAATGATATGTATGGATCTGGGCTGCCTGGTGATGAATCAAAAGATAGATTTATGGATGATGGTCCTCCCATGCAAGATCAGAATTCATGGAGGGATGACACTGGCTTTCAGGGAGGGCGAGGAAGAGGCCAGAAAAGTTTTATGCCCAATCGCACTTCTGTTGGCCAAAGTTCTAGTGGTGGTTCTCAGCTTCCATATGGAAATCAGGAGCTAGGTTCTTATGGTAGAGCTGTTCCACAGGGGAATAAAGTGAATAGAATTGGGAGAGGAGGAAGGGGTAGGCCTAATGGGAGAGACAACCAGCAGGTTGGTCTCCCAGTACCCATGATGGGATCACCTTTTGGACCACTTGGAATGCCCCCACCTGGACCAATGCAACCATTAACTCCTAGCATGTCTCCTGCTCCAGGTCCTCCTATTTCCCCCAGTGTCTTTATTCCACCATTTTCACCACCTGTTGTTTGGCCCGGAGCTCGGGGTATTGACATGAATATGTTGGCTATTCCACCCGGTCTCTCAGCTGTTCCTCCTGGGCCATCGGGACCAAGATTTGCTTCTAATATTGGGACTCCACCTAATACTGCCATGTATTTCAATCAACCCGGCCCTGGAAGAGGAGAACCTCTGAACATATCTGGCCCCAATTTTAATGCCATAGCACCAGCGGGGCGAGGACAGCCCCAAGACAAAGCCATTGGTGGTTGGGCTCCTCCTAGAAATGGACCACCTGGTAAAGCTCCTTCCAGAGGAGAGCAGAATGATTACTCCCAAAATTTTGTTGACACTGGGATGCGACCCCAGAATTTCATCAGGGAACTAGAGCTCACTAATGTTGTGGAGGACTACCCTAAGCTTCGGGAGCTTATACAAAGAAAGGATGAAATTGTTGCCAAATCCGCTTCTCCTCCCATGTACTACAAGTGTGATCTGCGCGAGTTTGGGCTGGTTCCGGAGTTCTTTGGAAGTAAGTTTGATGTCATCCTTGTGGATCCCCCATGGGAGGAATATGTTCATCGAGCACCTGGGGTTACTGACCATATGGAGTACTGGACATTTGAAGAAATAATGAATCTTAAGATTGAGGTAATTTTGTTTGTACAGAGCTCTTCATTGTGCATTTGCCCCTGGTTCTGTGACTGGGTAACAATGTATTTTGCCATTTGTAGGCCCATAGTTGACGGTTTGATGAAGCTTTCTGTTGTGAAATAAAGATTATTGCAACATGTTTAACGTCCAAAATAGATGATGCCACCTTGATATCTGAACCATTTTTTCTTCATGTTTACAGGCAATAGCTGACACACCTTCTTTTATATTCCTATGGGTTGGTGATGGGGTTGGCCTTGAGCAGGGACGACAATGTCTGAAGAAGGTAGACATCTTAAAACCTTTAATAAATTAGATAAAATGGTTACCAAGTGGCTACTTTATCTTTTATTTTTTTCCTTTTTGGATTTTTTGTGTGTTCCCGCCCTCGGGGGGGGGGGGGTTACTTTGCTGAAGATCCTGTCAGTTACCTGCAATGTCGATCACATTAACTGCGTTTTGTCTTGTTTGTGAAGTGGGGATTCCGTAGGTGTGAGGATATATGCTGGGTGAAGACCAACAAAACAAATGCAACTCCAGGATTGCGCCATGATTCTCATACCTTGTTCCAGCGCTCAAAGGTATCAGGTTATGTTTCTTCTGCTCTTTCTACTTTTCTAATCCCCAATCTATGATGAAGATTGGTATGTCTATTGAACCATATTATTTTGACATTGGTCATGAAGGAACACTGCTTGATGGGCATAAAAGGAACTGTTCGTCGCAGTACTGACGGTCATATAATCCATGCCAACATTGATACTGATGTGATTATTGCCGAGGAGCCTCCTTATGGTTAGTTTTAATTTCACGCCTTGGACTTCAATGACCCTTGGTTTGCAGCAGTTTAAAATATTTTGGTGGTTGCTTTTTTTGTAAGGATAATGTGAAAATTGCAGGTTTAAGGCAATGGTACTTGCAGTTTCATGTTTAGTCCCTCCATTTTTTACCCCTATTAATTTTAGTTAACGTGGGTTTGCCATCATGTATATGATGTTTTGGTACATACAAGAAGGAAATTGAAATAGACATTTTGTCAACTTTTTACTGTGGCATTGGGAAATAATTTTTCTTTCATATGAGATTTTGAAGTTTATGTGGACCTTCCCCCCCCCCTCTTCAGTGGCCCCAAATACATAAAATTGCATTGAATATATGAAATTTGTGGAATGAACTTTTTTTCCTAAAATTTGAACTTCTCCTTGCATGTAAACATTATGGGTTGATCAATGCAGAATGTGTTAAAAAATCTTATTTGCCAATGGGATTGCAGGTTCGACAGCAAAGCCGGAAGATATGTACCGGATAATTGAGCACTTCTCCCTTGGCCGAAGGAGGCTTGAGCTCTTTGGTGAAGACCACAATATCCGGTCGGGCTGGTTGACTGTTGGTAAAGGACTATCCTCATCAAATTTTAATGCCGAGGTACACTGTCCTTGCGTTCTCTTATCTGAAAACTGAGAAAGGAAAAAAAATCAATGAAAATAGCTGAATCCACTTTCCCGTCATTTGACGGGTTTCTAGAAGTAGTTCATCAATTACGCTTTATTTATTTAGTTTATAAAATGAAAACTGTATGTGATGACTTGGAATCCTGCTTGTCTAGTGATGATCACAATAGAGAAGTGGAAGTTTCTAAAAGCTTATGGTACTTCAAAATATGAATGCATTTTGGATCGGGCTTTGGTTGTTGGTTTGCTGTTAGGTAAATATATTTATAGGTGGCTTTGATGCAATGGCACAATTGGAGATGTTGAGAACGAGATAGGTGAATCTGGAAACAGCTTCTACCCGTTTTCCCTTATGGGGATACTTCCTATTTTAAAGACGTGTGTTAAATACTCTTGTTATAGAAGTTTGTTTCTTTAAGACACTAACTTTAGCAAAATGGATTCTCTTGGAAAAAAACACTGAAAAAATGCACACCTATGCCCATTTAAACAGTTCCATAAATTGTAGTGTTATCGTATCCTAAGACNTTGGAAAAAAACACTGAAAAAATGCACACCTATGCCCATTTAAACAGTTCCATAAATAGTAGTGTTATCGCATCCTAAGATCAAATTGGTATGATCCTATGTGGTTTCTACAAGTGCTGACCAGGAAATTGGTAAAATTTCAGGCATATGTGAGGAGCTTCGCCGATAAGGAAGGAAAAGTTTGGCAAGGTGGGGGAGGACGAAATCCGCCACCTGAAGCACCTCATCTCGTTGTCACCACCCCTGAGATAGAGGCTCTCCGTCCCAAGTCGCCGATGAAGAACCAGCAGCAGTCTGCTTCTATCTCTCTGGCAACAGGCAATTCCACCAACCAAAGGTCTTCCGGAAATTCGCCACAGAATCATATAGTACTCTCATAGGACCCTGTAGATTCTTCTTTGAATCTATTTTCCATTATGTTTAAAAGTCTCCAAGTTTGTCTGAACGGTATCTCTTGCCACCCACTGAGAGAGTGATTGATACAAGAAGAAGAATCATCAAAAAGGAGAAGTTCCCAGTAGTGTTTATTTTTGAGGTTGTAACCAGAAAAATTTGAAAGCTCAATGTGACGTGTCATTGAATGCATCTAACTGTTGAAAAAATTCTGGTCAAAAAAAAAAAAAAACCGTTAGAAAAATTCACTTTTACGGAAATTTTAATTCTTATTTCTTGCAATGATCGTTGGCCTAGTTATATTCTACATAATGAAGGTGAGTGATATCTATCGTGTTTTGTTGCTGTTGGATAGAAGGCATCAAGTCAGACCTGTAAGCACCGGATAGTATGCAACCATAATTTTCAATAACACAATGTGTACTTGCAGTCATTCTCTATTTGGCCCACTTCAAATAAAATGAGAAAAAATAGTCGGTCAATAGTATAGCTCTTTCTTTCTTCCTTCGGTCTTCGTTCGAATAAAAGTCCTTCACATCCCTAATTCGGTAGGGTTGGGCGGTTTTGTTTGCCCCAGCTTGGTGAATTGCATACTCGCGCAACGATATTATTTGTGCGTCTTTTATCATTCTCACTCGATGTTTGTAATGGCTGGGAAAGCAGTAGAAGCGAAGTCCTATGACCACGCTGACCATCAATTACAAGATTGGGCCCTACTCAAATATTTGATGAAATGACCCAACCAAAAAAAAAATGAGTCTCGTTAATCGGAGTATGCATTAATTTCATTCTTTTAAATAATCACACATTTTTTAATCTAATTAATATCTTATTTGAAATTAAACATGTTCGATGAACTAAAATTAACCTAGGCAAAATGAAAATGTTCGCTAATTTTATAATAAAATTCATACAAATGCATCTCAAGCAATTGAAAAATTCTAACCTCTCTTCTAATTGAACGAGTTTGCTGTGCAAAATTTGGATTGTTGTAATTGACAATAACTTTACTTATTTATTAATAATTATATTATCTTCAAGTTCTTTTGAGAACTAAATGATTTTAATTAAATTTGTTATAGAGATTACTCTTCTACAATAGAGAATCCTGTATTTTAATCTATATTTTCAATAAATAAAAATAAAATTTACTTTCTAAAAAGTTGAGAGGATTAGTGGAGATTCTTTTAGGAGGACTTGGGTTTTGGGTTGCGGTGAGGGGGAATGAATCTGTAAGAGATTGGGTCGGCCTAGAAAGTTTTGAACCACTAAAAAGCCTAAATGGAAATGGGTCGGGCCTGTTTTTCTCTCTTTCTGCCCTCCTATTTGTGCACTTCAAGGACATGTTTGGATTGAATTTCATCCAATCTTATATTTGGCAAGTGATTTAAATACACGTGGGATCTATAAATTTATGTTAGATTATATCAATTAATTTATTAAAATGTCCATTATTAGGTGAATAGAAGAATGGATTTTTAGGTAAAATAATATTTTTGTCTTCAAATTCAACCTTTCACTTTTGAAACCCACTCCCATGAGTTTCATCAAATCTCCATTTGTGGATTTTAATCAACTATCTATTAGATTCATTTATCGTATAAATCTTGAACCTAAAATTTTAAACCAAATACAAGTTTAAAAGGTATATTGAACTATTTTCACAAAAAATCACCTATTAAATCTCATCCAGANTTTGTGGATTTTAATCAACTATCTATTAGATTCATTTATCGTATAAATCTTGAACCTCAAATTTTAAACCAAATACAAGTTTAAAAGATATATTGAACTATTTTCACAAAAAATCCCCTATTAAATCTCATCCAGACACATGTACCAAGGGGCTCTTTGGTAAGCGAGTATGGAGGGACTTGACAAGATGGAAATGTAAAAAATATAGTCTAATAAACTCTTAAAATCCTTGTTTGAATAGTTTTTTCCAAGTCATGGATAGTAATTTTGGCCCCCAGTTGACCCTACATGTTAACCCTTAAATGTGGGTTTCATTGAACCCATGGGGTGGGTTCCGATCAAGTCATACTCGGATTAGTAATATAAATGTCACTTGTACTTTTGAATTAAAAAAATGCATGAATTGAATTAGTCAATGAAAAATATAATTATTTATAAGATAAATATATGATGATAATAGTGATATATCCGTAAATTTCACGTATATATATAAATTAGATACCAAACACGGATATATATTGAACTCATAAATCCCATAAAAAACAAAGGGGAGGATTGACTTTGGGCAAACCATTCATCCTCTTTCCCAAAAGTCGTCCTCACAAGCCGCAAGAGTCGAGACACTTGGGCCTCATCCACTGTTGTTGGACCGTGAAAGCACGCACTTTTTAGGAGCGTGGGAGTAGTCAATATAATCTCAATCACGTGCTACTGTCTGCTTAACCTAGGTGACGTGGCACGAAAGCGGACAAGCGTAATGAAGAAATGTGGCAGGTTACGGGGTAAGGTTATCAGCATCGTACCACGCTCACAGATCCTTTTAATTTTCATCATATCATGTACCCCACAGCAGATCTAGTGTTAGATTTTGGTGGGTGGTTTTGTTTCCATACAATCAGTTCCATCTTACTCTGGTGCAACTGTTGCTCTAACCACTCGCACTTAAACTTGATTTAATTTTGTGTTCTTGCTCCTAAATGACGAAGGTAAGGGGGTAGAGGAGAGGGCCTAAACTATCCCGATAGGGTTTAATTGGTGAGATTATAAGGTTTCTGACTGTATTAGTTATTTCTCTTGAGAACGAATTTAACTAAACTAGCATAACGATCAATCTCCGAATTTTAATATAAACTTTAAGACATAAACTTTCAATTTTAAGGTGAGAGATTCTATCGACACCCTGTTAGACCACCCATGATTTTACCAAATTTGACAGTTAGTTAATAACAAGTAAGAGGGGTGGGGGGATGCTAACATCAAAATGGGCATTTCAGCAACAGTACTAATTTTCGTATAATTATGACATGTTTCACCGATTGGAGCTTTCTAATTTATCAGCCATCCAAACCCATCAAGAGCCATCCGAAACCCTAATTAAGGGATTCCAAAGTCTGCAACTTCAATGTATAATTTCTGAGGAGCATCACAACCTAGGCAAGGTAAGGCATTTTTGCCAATACCAAGTAAAAAAGGAAAAATAATAATAAACATAGTAAATATCCTTGGATTCTAACTCTAGCCCTTTGTTTGGTACAAGAACACTTGAGTAGGTGGAAAATAGGGAGGTAAAAACGAGTTTTCTTTGTCTGGTTTCAAAGAAAAAGTGAATGGAATAGAAAAATGTCTGGATAGCTGATCCTTCCGCCGCACCATTTTGTTTCCGTCCATTAAGGAGCAGTTGGTGTTGGAGTTGTTATAAGGGAAGAATGTGAGCAATTTGCAGCAAGTATGTCCAAGAAGTAGTTGTGAATGGTGTTTTACAAATAACATAAACAATTGTTACTAAGTTATTCAGTTTGCTTTATGAACAAGATTGTGACGAAATCATTTTCTATGGTGATTCAGAGTTAGCAATGACGACCATCAGGGAACATAGTGAAGTGTTTGATCCTAAGAGGAGGTGGGTATCAACAATAATATATAAGAGTTTCAATATCTCGAAATATTTCTTACTAAATGTATTAAAAATAATATTGCACATCATTTAATATGATATATTCTTTATCTTTGTGACGCTAATGTATGGATATAAACAAACACTTGACTTAATCATTACTCTCTTACTTTTAAAAATTTCATATTAATAATATTTTATCATTTCATTTTCAAAAAAAAAAAACAAAAGAGAGCACCATAAGAGAGTAAATATTAAGTAAAATCAAACTTCAAGCATATTTATTGATGTTTGGCAAAAAAAAATAAATAATAAAGAAGGCTGGATTGAATATAAACTCAAGCAATATTGTTTATTAATTTAAATAATTATAATAATTAGATTAACAATCGATCTTAATATTGGTTGAGATTCATTATCAATTAAAAATTGTGATAAATTTAGTTACAAAATATTAAATTAAAATAATATTATTATTATATAGTATCTAAGTTAAAATTATCCAACAGTTACGGGTCTAACTACACTATTGAAAAATTACTTCTCAGTGCCCATACCCAGTTGTTTTTTATTTATCGAAATAAAAGATGATTAATTTTTTATTTTTGTAATGAATTATTATAATTAAATTAAGACAAGATTTACACCAATAATAACGTGCTATCCTCAACCAAACAAAGGCAAATGTGTAGGGAGGCGATAATTATGAACCCCACCCAACCCTAATTGATGCTATGGACAACGGAATACAGTTGGAAAGGCTTTGCCACCAAAATGCACTTTCCTCATTCTATAATGTTGTACAGAATTTTTACAGTAATTTCTTTACACTAGAGTACAGTATATATATATATATATATATGTGTGTGTGTGTGTTATTAAAAAAGTTATCTCTATCCTAATAAGTATCACATGCNATATATATATATATATATATGTGTGTGTGTGTGTGTGTGTGTTATTAAAAAAGTTATCTCTATCCTAATAAGTGTCACATTCGCCGATTTCTAAATAAGTACAACGGTTAAATCAGAATTTGTATAATCTAAGGAGAGTTGAATTCTTAATAAGTACAACGATTAAATTAGAATTCGCACAATCAACGGAGAGTTGGATCCGGCCCAAGACTTAAATACAGTTCACCTAGTTAATGAAAATTTATTCTACTAAACTAAATTGTACCGAAACTCAAGAGGTTGACTCAAAAAATAATTAAATTTCGAGCTCAGGTTTATTTTGTATTCATAGGGAAGATATCTTCCGGGTGTGGATGACAAAAGGCACGTGATGTGATTTTCAAAGTTGAGGGAATCTAATCAATTAAAAACCCAGACGCTTCCCGAGACTTTCAGTGATATAGATGCAAGAAAACAGCTCTTGTCGACCCACCACCAACCATTTATCATCCACCAACTGGTCTATATAATGCAACCTCAAACCTAATCTTCAACCTAGAGGTCCATTAGGTTTTCTTCTCTGGGTGATCTGATATATTGCAACATGTTAGGGTTCTAGGTCTTGGGTGATTAGTTTGGATGGTCAGAAGTTTGGGGTGCAGTTCATTTATTAAATGGTCTTATGGGTTCGGGCGATGCTCATGAATCCGTGTTCATGGGTGTTTTCTGAGCA